CAACACACAGACATTTAGTTTAGTGAAATACTAGGTAAAGAAAAGCAGGAAATCCTCTTATTCAGAATCAGAACATTTGTCACAGTTTAAACCTGCTGAGCTGAATTTTTGCCTCCCCCTTCTGGCAGAGAGAGTAATTACACAAACGATGTCAACTCAAGCTTACAGCATAAATGTAAAAGCCCGCTCTCAATATCTCACAAATGTCAGCCTGCCAAAGTGCAGTAAGGTGACATTATTGTCTTGCCTCAGTCTTCTCTTTTCTCTCAGCTATCTTTGATGAGGAAAAGCCAAATCAGTCTGGGTTTGTCCTCCCCATCAATCACTTTCTGTTTCAGGCTGGAATCCTTCCGCTGAACATTGAGCTTCTTTGTTATCTGCAACATCAGAAACATTTCTTGGATGCTTCTCCGGTTTTTCCACCATCGTTCTTTATTGCTGTAGTCTGCTTCATCTCTGTCACGACAGCTGTTCCCTTCTTCAGCTCTGACAAACCGGTCACTGCTAGTTGGTGTAAAATATCTCCACAGACGTTTGCTGAACAACGACGGTCTGCTGCGAAATACGGAGAGAGATTTTCCCGGCATTAATCAGCATTGTGTAACCTAATTGGCTTGAATATAACAGATGTTCATTTATATGTAAAAGCCCCGCACTCTAGCTTTAACTATTTTTAGTTGTAAATTCTGAATTAAAACGCTCATCTCCTCACAGCCAGATGTCCAATCTGATGAACCAAGCGAGGCTGAAGGTGCTGAAGGCCCGAGACGACATGATCACGGTGAGAGATCGATGCTCGCGTTTGACACTAACTCACAGAAATGTCACGCGTTTAGATTCATTTTAATTTATGTTATTTGCAGCTGTGATTAGTTTGCATTGTTTAGGTTTGTGTGTCAACAGTGAGCATGTCTGCATATGTTTTGTTCCTTTACAGCCCTTAATTAAAAGTCCTACATCCACTACACCTTTATAATGGAATAAATGGATGTTCATTTGTGGTTCTCAAATCCCAGAATAATTAGATTGACCTGTCACCATGAACAAGTATTTACACAGAACTGATTCTAATTCTATTGTACCTGAACAGCACTTATTAGCAAAATGTGTGTGACTGAATTAATCTGCAACCTTTTTCTGTTTTCTTCCCGTCCTCTCGTCTCAGGATCTGCTAAACGAGGCCCGACAAAGACTTGCAGCGATTGCAAAGGACCCTGCGCAGTACTCCCAGCTGCTGGAAGGCCTGTTGATGCAGGTAAAGTCTTCAGCTGCTGAAAAAAAGCTTGATTTGCTTTGTTGTTTCTCTGTGTTTTCAGAGTTTTTACTGTTGGACTTTTCAGGGATTCTACCAGTTGCTGGAGCCCAAAGTCACCGTTCGCTGCCGACAGCAGGACGTAGAAATTGTTCAGGTGAAGTCGATTGGACTTGTCATTGTGTTGTCATTACTGAAAGCACAGACTGTTACAGGAGTCTCTGCGTCCTCTGTTGCATGCACGATAGCCGATACGGTGGTGTCCTCTGTTTTACGACCTGACAGGCTGCCGTTGATAAGAACATCCCTATCTACAGGGAGGCCGTGAAGAGTAACATCGCCGTGAGAATCGACCAGGAGCGTTTCCTTCCATCTGAAATGTACGTTGGCTCAATGTGCTTCAATGTCAGCTTTCATTTTAAATGTGTTGCATGAGGAGGTTAAAGGAAAAGAAACGCTTGAGCTGATTTTATAATCAGTGTTTCCTTTGTTTGAACAGCTGTGGAGGTGTTGAAGTGTACAATGATAATGGGAAGATCAAGGTGTCCAACACTTTGGAGAGCAGGCTAGAACTCATGGCACAACAGGTAGAGTGACTTTAATAATGCATTTAAAATCCAAACTGTTTACTTATGCTAAATTCTAAATTTATACTGTACATATAACTTATACTGTATATATAACTTATCTTATTTTATATTGAAATCTCTTCTATTTTATTTTTTGCTCTTTATTTTGTTCTTTATTCTATGTTGCACAGAAGGAGCTGCTCTTAATCTCATTGTACATGTGTATAGTGACAATAAAGGCATTCTATTCTATCTATTCTATTCTTATGACCACTGTAACGCACTAGATGCAGTTTGGGCTGTTTGCCTGTGGGTGGCAGCACAGCCCACCTGGTTCTCCAGTGAGTCTAAAATACCTAAAGGTTGGAGAAAGAGCGACTCCAGGCTGGACCGTCTTTCTGCTTTTACAACATCGATACCTTGAATAATCAGTTGAGGAACCATGTTAGTAAAGGAGAAACTGACTTGTGTACTAATTATAACAATTATTGTTCTGTTTTTGTAATTGTGGAACTTTATTCAATTAATTTTAGGCATTTTTCTTCAGTTTCCTACACAAAGGTGCTGATAAAAGCATTATCACTAAATAGGCATGCAGAAAATATGATCTTATTGTTTTAAAAAGCTTAATTTATGTGCATAAAGAAAACATTATGCTTTTGCAAACATACAACTTCCAGCAGCAGCCCTTGACCAGTGTTGTGTTTCCAGTGTCATGCGTGGATAAAACTTGGAGGTTCGGGTCAAAAGAGGACAGACTTAAAGAGTCTGAGCCATCCTCTGTTTTCTCACAAATGTTCAGCTCAAACTTTTGTACATAAGAAGCTTTGTGAAAGTAGAAGTAAGCTCCGGAAATGTGCAAAGAAGATGTAAACAGGTGAACTACCATGTGTGCAGCAGGCGATTTTTCCTTTTAGTTCCTTCTACGTACTCATTCGTATCCTGACTTTACCCCTCACAGATGATGCCTGAAATTAGAGTGAACCTGTTTGGCGCCAACCCCAACCGCAAGTTCACGGATTAACGGTGGATTTGAGGAGAGCGGTGAAGACTCAGGTGGAATATTTAAGGTGACCACAGCTTCTCCGTAGTGAGTCTGTAGAGCCACCGGTCAGCTGTCACGGTCAGAAAACCCTCAACAGGATGCAATGGATGTATTCTTCTTCTTTCTTTTTTTATACACTGATGGACGAAGTAATAATTCAACAATCACACTGTTAATTCTGTTTAAATGTGCTCTATCTGACCTCTCCTGGGATGTTCTAAAGGACTGCTTCATATTTTATCCTTCAGTTGTTTCAGGTAACCTCCTGATTTTTGCTACTTGATCACCAAGCTGCCTTTTGTTTAAATCACCAAAGATTCTTGCACATAGTTGGTCTACATTTTTGTAGACGATGAGGTTGACAACTTAACAAGCATAACGTTTGCATGCGTGTAAGTGTGTGTGTGTGTGTGTGTGTGTGCGTGTGTGTGTGGACGGAGATGCAATTAACATACAAAACCCCAAAGAAATAAAATTGCGTGACGCAGAGAACTCAGCATGGATGAGATATCTTTATTTACAGCTTGTAAACAAACAGTTTACTCCGGCTATGTTCACGCTACGATGAGGAAAATGTAGTAGCCTAAGTATGCTAACCACATCGACGTGTGTCCTGCATTAAAAATGTAAAAAAAAAAAAAAAAAGAGAGAGAGAAAAAAAGCTTTTTAGTGCTACCCAATGGGTATAAGTAATGGCAAACAGTTGGCAGAACAAGGTGCCATACTCCCTCCACGGGTCTAACAGTTATAATTGTCTTCGCTAAACTGGACTCGAGTACCAAAACAATACTTCAACGCCACCAATTCCACTGAATCCATTTAAGACTTACAGTTTTGATGCTTTAGAAACTATTAGCAATGATAATAAGGCTTTAATTGCATTTCCTTTAGTTATTGTGCGTACATCGTTTGAAGCAACACTTTTGTAACTGTAACTAAAACTGAGCGGTAAAACCAGCCGAGGTGCGTCGCAGGTTTCATGTAAAGAGAAGTGGAAGCCGAGTCTATGAGACAGTGATGCAGCGGTCTGACCTGTGTGGCCTCTAAGCAGGAAGTGAGCTGTATGTTAGGGTATATTGTATGCTAATGCAGGGATTAAAGCATTACCATCAGATTAACTAATGACCTCATAGACACTGAAAGGCAGCGCCTCCCAGTCCAGCGAAGGAGTCCGAGATTACAACTCTGACCTCCAGGACGGAGTGGGAGGAATGCATAACAGAGCAGGCAGAAGGACGTCGCACATTCACGTCCCAACGATTGGGTTCTGAAGTCAGTTCAGACTCTGACATCAAACATTACGCAATATTGGATTGAAAGGGGGATTTGTCACTTCCATAGGATGATGCACAGACCAAAGAAATGGTCAGATTGGTAGGCATTTTAGTTAGCAGCCTTAAAAAAAAGAAAAAAGAAAACATGCAACAGTTCTTTCTTAGTAACAACCAGACAGAATATTCTCTCTCAGGTGAAACAGAGGCATGCCCTCAGATTAGTCACACACATACACAGGACCTTGTTTATCCTACAGAACCCTGTTGACAGCATGTACAAACCTACAGAACCTTGATTAGTGTGAACCCGCTGGTCCACATATTAGTAAATAGAGCCTCTTCATAATGTAGACCACTGCTCTTCCTTTGGTTAGGGGATCGTTGCCGTATTTCCCTCCTCTCTCTCTGTTTTCTCTGCTCGCTCGGTTGTGTCATTCGTTCGCTGCAGATTAAAGCAGCATATTATCTGTACAGAAGCAACACAACCGCAACGCCGAGCACTGCTATCCCAACAACTCTAGCACCGTCTCCCCCACACCGAGAAAGTAGACGCCCTGCGCGATGCCAAAAAGAGGAGCGATGACTAAAGCGCGACACGTTGCACCCTTCAGGAATGCTGATGGGCCCTCTCTCGTCATGATGCGCCTGCAAAGTGCATGCAAGAAGGACGACAAAAGGAAGTGTTACGAGACCCTTCACACTCATTATTATCAAAGACATTCATGTTTTATTATAGGCTGTAGTCGTACCTCGTGCAGTCGATGATTCCTCTGTATGTGTCTTCTCCTTCACCTTTTTGCAAGGTCTGCAGACGGGTCTTTATGACTGTGTGGGGATGTGAAACAGGGATGCACTGTCATTACATAAACCTGATGCCAGAGCATCAGTTAAAGCAAACAGCAGCCGCTGTGTTCTGATGTGATGCTAACCTGCAGCGTGAAACTGCCCCGAGTAGAAAAAAAGAAAGTCAATATCTCAGAGTTAACTCAGCAGCATCGATGACTGTATCTGAAATCAGTTCCTGTTTTTGATTTTGATTGATTTACCATGTAGTGCACTGTATCTGCTGTCCACCAATTTACCTCAGTGTCTGAGTTGTGACATTTATGCACAGTGTGGTGCTTGCAATAGAAAAGCCAGAATAGAATTGAACAATAGAATGAAAAAAATAAATATACCATCCACAGCATGTGCACAGTGCAGCGCTCTGCATTTTATAAATACAAGGATGATCTGAAGCCATGTGGCGCTGTAGCTGTCCCTGATGATGCAAGTGTCAGAAATGTCACTTTACTGCTTTCTATGAAGTCAAATGTTGAGCGTCTGTTATATGGGGAGTAAATATATAAACTTTTCTTGTCTTAACTTTGGGTTGATATTGAATTAAGCCGTCTCACTGATATTCTGTGATTTTAAAGTGATGTGTTTTTAATGTTGTTTTGTGAATGGACCCCAGGAAGACCAGCAACCACCTCGTGGAAGCTAATGGGGATCCAAATAAAGAACAAACATGAAGTGAAAAGCAACCCTAAGTCGATGGTGATAAGGCACCAAGTTTAGCTCACACAACCATGTTGGGTGTAATAAATATAGCAAGGATGCCTTTTAATGCTTATGCATTTAAGTCTAATTTCTAAGAGCAGAATAATGTTTAAAAAAAAGGTTGCATAGTCCTGTTTAACAAAAAAAAACCTTGGAAGTAAGTGGAATTGGTCTGGATTGGAGTAAAACAGTGCAGCACCAAGCAGGTATCTGCAGCTGTGAATGGCGGCGACTTGAGGCTCCGTTCCCATCCCAGCTGTTCTACCTTCTCCCTCTCCCTGTCTCTCTTTCTCTGCCACTCACCATCCAGAGGGGTGACCGCCACAGCCGCCACTGAACCAGCGGAGCATCCTGCCAGGAAGGACTGCCAGAACGGCGCCTGGTCCTGCACGGCCGCCTGGCCACCTGCACTCTCCCGGCCCAGCGCGTTAAGGTTGGCAAACAGCGGGAAGTAGATCATGGAGAAGGGAACGTCCCTGGAAAATGAAATTATAGGTTTTACAGGTTAGGATTAGGGAAGGAAGTCAGATTCTTGAAATGTAAAAGGAAAAAAGTTAACGGGGAGGTGGTGGTGATGGTCGATACAGGGAGAGAACGAGGGTGTGAGACATGGACCCGTTCAACTCCGGCACAGCAGCCAGACATAGCTGCAGGAATCTATTGATCGGTGCTGATTAGTAGACGTGTCAGGAAATTCAACAGGGCAACATAAGTTATGCAATCTACAATCAGCTCATTACAGCGACGATGACAGAGTTGAGAGGAAGGAGAGGGAGCGCCCTGCTTGGCATTGTAGCTGATCAGCATGAGGGGAAAGTAGAAAAGTTCTAGTGTCAGACAATTAATTACAGTGCACACCAGGAAGAAAACTAATAGGAAGTATGTCTGACATTGTTCAAAGTAGTTCAAAGAGAATACTTGCAATATGTTTTAGTCGCACTGATGTCATGTGAACAGAAAGCCATTATGACTGTTATCTGAATCTGCCCTTTTCTTTTTTAGCTTTAGTTTTAAATAGTAAGAGAACCTGTACGCCTACAGATGAACAGTAGAGTCGAGTCAGGTTTAATGTACTATGAGTGAGTGGGGGAGAGATTCATGTTCACCTCATTAGGGTGGCTCCCGCCCCTCTGTAGAGTCCAGCCAGGCCCCGAGTCTTCAGCAGCTCCACCGTGATGCCCGTGGCCGAGGTCCGTGGCGGAGGGGTCGACCGGGCTTGCGGTGGGGGGGCCACCAGCGATGGAGCCGGACCTGGAGCAGCAGCTTGAGCTGGAGCCGGCACGGGCCTCTGTGCAGCTAAAGGATAAAGACAAGCACTGTCTCAGGTTAGAGGAAGGCTGATATAATCCTGCAACAGTCACTGAACAGCGGGCAGCTGCCGATCAGCCAATCACATCCCATTTATGATGCATTTCATGGATCACATCTAGGAACAGTGTGTGTACACTGGCCCTTATTTATGCAAAACATTATATGACAAAACCTATAACAGAGATGTTATAAGGGACAAACTCGCCACTCGTGACATGAAACTGCACCTGCGTAGTCGAAGAATAACCTGTTACACCTTTCTAAACCTTATCTAGAGGCAAAGTCACCTAACTTTGACTGGTCATGCAGTTTTTGCGTCTAGATGACAACTGAATTTTCACTTAATGCTCTCTCACTATTCATGTAGATACTGAACTGGTCTTCTTCACCTTAAATAACCGTCTGGGGGCGTTACCAAGATGGCTGCCGATTGGCAACACCTGCCCAGAAGGACACTGTTACACTAAGAGCTGCAGCAGAGGCAACTGGACTTTCTTTTCTGGTTCTTGAAAAAGTTTCACCTCTCATCCATGAGACCTTTTTAGTTTTGACTGATAAGGAGTCTGTCTGTTGGACAAGAGGTGAAATATTTATATGAACCAAAGAAAAGCTTAGTTACCTTCTACTGAGGCTCCTAGGATTACCAAGACCTGCATGACTGAGACAGACTTGGTCATACCGAATAAATCTTACTATCTGTACACGATAGAGCTTCCAGTTTGACTTGCTCGGTAGGTTATTGGGTTTCAGTGCAACACATCCTTCTAAACTTCTGTAAATATTCCCACAGCATTAAATCCAGTGAACAACTCACCCAGCCTTCCTGCATCTTGCAGCTGGATCTTGAGCATCTCCATGGGAGTCGTGACCACCACCTGACAGGTCCCTGCCCCACACCCGGCCAGCACCTCCCCCCACAGGGGCAAATGTCTGGTGACACAGAACAGTGTCAGAGGTAAGTACAATAAATGTATACGAACGTATAAAAGAAAATACACTGGCTTGACATAATTAATATTTTATATCTGGTGATTTTGTCGTTGCTCCTTCAGTTCATTGCAGATGGGAGGTTATCCAGATGTTGACAAAGCCTGGGAATATTATGGATCCACTACATGCTGTGATAGACTCAATATTCTAAGTTAAAACCTAAAGGCTGGTGTGCTTGGTTTCAAATGAAATGCTGTTTCTACAGTAGGGTGATATATTGAAGAGATAGGCAGTTTTAGCTGGGCCCATACTGCAGCTTCACAGTATTTAACCCTCTGAACCCCCAGTAGGTTTCTGCTCGTTTTGTGCTCCCGTCACATTTTTACTCACTGTGGACTAATTTTTTATCGCAATATAAAGTCCTGCACCTCTATGGAAACAGCACAACTGTGACTACACATAGAGGAAGCTTAAAGAAAGTCCTGTTATGATGCCATAAATAGTCAAAAAGGGAAAAAATCTAAGAAGCATGAATTCTGACATTTCTGAATTTCAAGGAAATTGAAAAACCTGGAATCAACAACATGTTTCCAAGTGTCCACAAACTACACACTATGGATATTTTACTGATTACATTTAAAAGGAAAATAATCTTTTCCCAATTGTCTCCTATCTGCTCTGGACAAACACAGTGTGGAGTTCAGCCCAGTTATGTCAAATATTTCGTAATTTCTTTTCATGTGACTGTTGAGTCACCATTGAGTCACTCGTGGCTTCATAGTGATGCCAAGAAGGGCAGCATGTTTTGTTTTGTTTACAGAATTTAGTGCAAATGGTTCATTAGTGCCAAAGTTCTACTGTTCAGGTTAGACATACAGAATAATATATTATGCTTAGATATAGTTCGTTTTCCAGGCAAGCCAGAAATGTGCAGTTCATCGACCATCAGAAAGTTGAACATTTTTACCATTTTTTTCTGTTTTAACATGCCTGTCAAAGCAGCTGCTGGGTTTTGGGTTTCAGAGCTTTCATATAAAATGTCAGTGAAGGATAAAGATTAAGTTACCCGTCCTTAGAGAGCTTCTGTCTGAAGATGTCATTGGCGGCCAGTTTGATAGCTTTTTCTGGTGTGACTAGCGTGAGGTTCACTGCTGCACCTGATGGAGACAACAAGCGGGCTAATGACGGTGACACACCATCGATTCCAATGAGGTACACAAATAGCACAAACCTAAACAGCAGCTTATAGCTCACCAACACCAACCGCCAGTAAATGCTCTTTATCATGATAAAAAGATTTAGAGCTCGCGGGAGAAACAACAGTTCAGGTGGCGAGATTACGGTGGTAGTGCTGTTTGTCACGGGGATTAGAAATGAAAAGTACCTCTGTAGCATCCGAAATAGCCCTCGGACTTGACAGTCTTTGCCAGACAGTCGAGCCTTTAGAGAAAATGAGAAAAATCAATGAAAGGAATGAACATTATCCACGTTAACAGCATCCATGTCTTTCACCAGTAAGTCAAACATTCAGGTCAAATTATTTGTAATGTTTTTCATCCCTAAGCGTCATTAACACAGTGACTTTTATCCAAATAATCCATGATGACCCTCCATCCTGTCTTCACTACAGACACCCGTGGTGTCAGTGTTTACAGTCATGTTGAAATTCTCTTTTTCTCTTTGCAAAGAGCAAAAACCAACAATAACGAACATTGTAAGTGGGCCCTTGAAGTTGTCCAAGCTATTTTTCCATCTCTGACTCATAGTGGAAAACCGCAGGCTGCTGAACCGGGGATGGCCACGCCCAATCAGCCGCCAATACTGATGCCCACCAGATGTGTGCTGTTAAAAACTCAGGGTCAGTGAGTCATTTAAGGACACAGAATCTACGTTTTTTTTAATTGCATCTCTTGCAAACTGCAGTAACAGAATATGAAGTAATATCTGCACAGTTGGTCTGCAAATAGAGCTGTTTTACTGTGAGAGTTCATCTAAATACACAAGTTTTGCACTGAACTTACATAAGTACGGATCCAAATATGGGAAGAGCATGTTTTGCTCCTTGTGCTCCACCCGTTTGAGATTCAGTGGGAAAAAATGCAAGACGTGGTAATCTAAATAATAACATCGTCTTGTGTGTAGCTCAAATCAGAGAGTGCTGTTAACCATTTCTCAACATTTTGACAACTTTGATGTTGTTTTTGTGTGTTTGCATGCAGAATCTTTATTTATCAGAGGATTTTTCTCAATAATAATAAATCAATCATCTCATTCAGTGGTGCCAAAGCTAAAAAAAAAAATTAAATAAAAAGAATGCATCTGCTGTAAAAGCTTTGTCTCGACATGTAACCCTGCTACAGATCAATCACAGTAACGTATTAACTTTGACCGGGGGAGTCCCACTCACATTCCTTTGTAGACTTGGATGCCCTGCTGGTTCTGTAGGCGGGTCTTGGCCAGGTCAATAGGAAATACACATGTCACACCAACCAGGCCTGCCACGCCCCCATTAATCAGCTTAGCAGGGAGACTGCGAAGGGATCAACAAAGACACGCACACATGCACACATGAACAGACCCATTTACACACAGCCACCAGGACAGGCCACGCAAGTGACACGTCCATTCATGGACAAAGACGCAAATAAAGTGGAGGTTTCCCGTCAACCAGCAGCCACACACACACACACACACACACACCAGGAGAATGAAGAACATTAACTCAGCTTCCATTTGGTGAAAACGTTTTAATTGAGCCAAACACACAAGATAAAGACACTCACCTAACTTTCTTCTCTCCCATCCTGCTTGTGTTTGGGCCTCACGCCCAGGCCCACTACTCCCTCTCCTCCTCCTCCTCTTCCTCTTCCTCCTCCTCCTCCTACGTCCACTCCTCCTCTTCCTCTTCCTCTTCTGTACCAGAATTCGGCACACGGCCCAAAGCTGTCACCACAGCTCAGCCCTCACCTGCCCACCCACGCTACAAATGCAGCTCACGGCTTCCTTTTAATGTGGTACCTCCTTATTCTTCTTCTTCTTCTTGTCCCCTGGTGCGGCCGGGGCGGACACCCTCTCTTCTGTTGTGGTCCAAACCACCACAGTTGGATCTGTGTCTTCTTGCCAGTCTTTCTGCTTTATTGTGCTTCACATCAAAACCCGATCTCTCTCCCACTGTCTGGACGCACAAAACACACGCAGTTAACGTGGATTAAATGCTTCTAAAGAGCGAGACAACTGTTTCTCTATTCTGTAGGACTTTTTTTTGTCCCAAAGCCCAGCTGAACAGACATTTACTGTGGTTTTATGTCATAGTAGGAGGGCACGGTTGCGACGAAGGATTGGCACACCTCACACTGAATGTCAGTTACCATGAAATCCAGACTTAGTCATTCATAAATGTGAATAGCAGCATATCCTGGGACTACCACACTGAGACAGAACATCTTGAGTCTCTCTAATCTGTCAGCTAAAAGGGATAAGAGTATTTGATCTAGCAAGGAGGGCAGAACTGAAAATGAGGGGCTTACCGGTATTCTTTTTAACACATTTGAAATCCAGCATTTACAAAGAGCTGAAAAGGAGATTTGAGGGGCTGGTTTAAAAGAAATCTCTGACAAGTTTTTAGTTTCACCTTCTTTTTTTTTTTTTATTTTCACAATAGTTTGCAGTCTAAGCTCAGAAGTGTATATTACAGATAATACACATGCTGTTGGAACCTTATCTGGGCTTCACAGCGGTTGCTTTCTTTTGCCGTTCTCACTTTGGTTCATTCTTTTTCTGCCTTTTCCCCTCCTGACTTCCCCCTTCCCTCAGCTCCCTAATTAATCTCTCTCTTAATCTCTCCACCTCCATTCCGTCTCTATTTTTACCACTGTAAACCTCCACTCTATCCTTGCCTGTCTTCTCCACTGAGAGTAACGGAAACGATCGTTTCTTCCCCCCTTTCCATCCTCTCCTCTTGGCTCGGACTTTGTATATTTTAAGGTAATTTCCCATCACCTCAGAAATGTCATCTCCAACTATTTTTTTTGTGTGTTTTTTTTTTGTCTGCTTCTGAACTCTATCTTTTCTATCGCTGGAGCCTAGTCACATTCTACACATGCCTTTCACTGAGCCTCTTTCTGTGAAACTTTCTTTCAGCTCCATTCACGCACAGTAGTGACCCTGCCAAAACACAGACAAGGGTACCTCACCCCAAGCGAACCTCCAGCTTCCCCCTAAAACTGCACTTAGAGGACTCCGCTCACACAGTTTCACACAGCACAAAACCCCCACGAGACAGCTTTCAAAAACTGGAATTTTTCTCCCATCCCAGAGATGTAGCAGTGGGGAACGAGGGTCTTACCTCTGCCGACGCATCCCACACCAGGATCAAGCTGTCCACTTTCCTTTCACTTCAACAATGCGTGCAGCAATGGTAGTCAAGCGAGAGCGATCTGAGAGAGCCAGCCGCCACTCAGGGGCCGTTGCACAAACACCAGCATTGTCCCGCTGCCTAAGTCCCTCCCTCTCGTGGTGACTCTCTGTGTGACACAGCCCCAGCAACACAGCTCTGCACTAACACAACTCGACATAAACTCATGCCTGTGGAGCTGTTGAGAGAACACACATAATAGACACAGCAGAGACAAATACTCACAATTAGAACTCAGTGTGTATTGCTTCTATGAATATATATATGTATATATAGATCATGAACAGCAACAAAAGAAAAGCCTGACCATCATTAATGAGCTTCTATTCAACGGTCCTGCCATTACATAATACCTCCAGACACACTGAATGCTGCAAATGTTCACAGACTTACAATTACTACTGATAGTAGCGTCCCATGTCGTTATTGCTGTTTGTGACTTTTTATTATTGAGAAATATAAAAAAAGATAACTAAAGGGGGAAAAGAAATTATGTAAGGACATGCATGTGACCAGCACAGCAACCACTCGATGCCCTTAAACTATTTTTTTCATGAGCATCGATGGATGTATTGATTCCTTTTTAATGGAAAAACAATTATTATCAATGACAGTTTTAGCGTCAGCACAGAAAAGTGTTCACTGGAGGCAATAGTGTATAGCTCGCTTTTAAAGCACTTGTGGTTACTGTCGAAAATAAAAAGAAAGATTTATTGTGGTGATATTGCAGAAACTGCTTGTGGCCTATACATCGATATGTAGGTGGAAGAGTGTCTGTTCCCAACCAGCTGGTTTAGGAGTGTTCCCACCTCTTCTGCAAAAGGATAAATTGTTAGAATAAACTCTGACTCTTTAAATGTATATCTAATGCATATATTTCTCTACAGCACATTCAAATATCCCAAATAAGGAAAATAATGTTTGCTAAAAGGTGGGTCCAGCGTAAAGTATAATAAAAGGCAGAATCCATAACCAGACCAGCTTGAGTCTCGTGTGTTTACTCGCTGTTTCTCGGTTAATGGCTGCGTCCGATGTTTTACAATGGACCTTTCTCACAGCAGACATTTTACCTGTCATGGTGGATAATGCACAGGTGTATTCACGTTGGCTACATTCCACTTAGGGGCGGTTCAGCCTTTGTGCTTTACGGTCAGCCATCATAGCTTACTGGGACACTTTATGGAGCTGGGCCATTGTTCATGACAGCTGGTCTTCCCCCACTGGGACAAGTAAACGTTTCTGCTGTGACAAAACAAAAAAAAAGTCTGTAGCATTGCAGCACACCTGTGGAATAAGCATCAGGAACCTGGTAATTCTGTTGAAGTAGTAAACTGATGCTTTACTGAAGTAAAACCAGCAAATTCACAGTGCAAATTATATTATTATACTGCAACTAGTATTTGAAAATATGCATGTATTAGGGGCTGCAAGGTGGCTCGGTGGTTAGCACCGTGGCCTCGCAGCAAGAAGGTCGCCGGTTGGCGTCCCGGTGAGGACATCCGGGATCTTCCTGCGTGGAGTCTCCATGTTCTCCCCGTGCAGCGTGGGTTCTCTCCAGGTTCTCCGGCTTCCTCCCACAGTCCAGAAACATGTTGAGGTTAATTGGTGATTGTAAATTGTCCGTAGGTGTGAATGTGAGTGTGCTTGGTTGTCTGTCTCTAAGTGTAGCCCTGTGATAGACTGGTTACCTGTCCAGGTGAACCTGCCTTCACCCTGAGTCAGCTGGGATAGACTCCAGCCCCCCACAACTCTAGTGAGGATTAAGGTGTAGAGATGATGGATGGATGGATGGATGGATGCATGTATTATCAGAAAAATGTACATATCTGTTCTATACAGTAGGTATATATTTAGGTCATTCACTGTCCCTCAGGTCGTGGCGTGTTGATACACAAGAATAAGGCTGGAATAGAGCCGTACAAACCCCTGCACATCTGAATAACTTTTGCATCAGAGAAAAATGCAAGAACTCCAGCACACTTCTTGACTTACTACAGAAATATTTATTTGTCTGCAACGTTTTGGTTTTGTCCACTGAAGGATGGACAGACCAAACCAATGAAGGTCAGACGAACAGAAGGGTTGCAGTCAAAGAAACATTTCATCAGTAAATGAGACAGTGTGTGAGACTTCTTTTTATTATGTTAGAGGTGAATTTGTTTCTTGCTTTTCTGACTGTCTTACATATTACTGCACAACATGAAACTTACCTGTACTATGTATTTTTAATTCTTAATTTCTTTTTTTTTTTTTTACAACTGAAGTATCTGCAGCATTTTAAATGTTGCAGCCAGTTAATGGGAGAGAACGTGATCAGACATATCGCATCCTGTTTTGTAAAGTGATAATATAGTTTGTGTGGAAAATGTTAAAGCCCTGCACATCCATAGTCCCCCCACGCAGATGTTTACGTACAATATTTTATCCTAAGATGCACGGGATGCATGAAAATACGTTGGTAGAAAGAATGAGAGCATGCAGATACTTACATTTCCCCACTGGTGTCCTTCTGTGGAAACTGAGCAATGAAGCAGAAATCTATGTGTGGATTTTCTACAGTATGTCTGGATTCCTCTCTTACAAATCAGATGTCCCGGAGCTTCAAACAGCGGTGTGACTGCGGTGAGGAGTGTCTGGGGACTGGGGTGGTTGCCTGCATTCTGAACACTATACGGTTATTTACAGTCAAAATGCGGGTTGCTCTCTTTGCCACTCCTGTTTACAGTGACGATTTAACTGGGAAGCTTATCTTTTGGATTTTGTAGTCCAACAGGTTCCATCACCAGGGTTCATGTTAAGATCAACATTTTTTTTTTGTCTTATCTTTTGGATTTTGTGGTCAAACAGGTTCCATCACCAGGGTTCATCTGATGATAAAAGGAAGAAGTTAACATTACCTAGAGTGGGGAATCCTGATGTCAGCCCCATAAATCACAAAATTTATCACTGATGATGGAACTCTGTTTTTCAGGTACATCATTAAGCCTCTCTAAGTCGATCAGTAGACCCCACTGAAGAGCCGCTGGAGTTATTTCCAGCAACTTCACATCAAACAAATGTGCCCGAGAGACGCAGAGAGTAAACTGCTGTTGCCCTGACACACCTTGGAGAGCTAAAAATGTGCAAGTTTCCACTCCAGCCAAGGACTACAACAGGTTATTTATAACATACGCATTCAATCCAATAGGAGGGACCGATGATAGTAAAATCTGTTGTAATCAAATCTAAGTCAGTTCATCCACTCTTAAGCCCTGGCAGCAACAAGGCCTGCTCCTGGTGATGCCGGCTGGTCACTTGGTCTGACTTTGATATACAGCACAAATATCTCAGAATGTCATATCTGTTGTGGTGTCCCTTCACTTTTTATGTGTTTTTTTCCTTGTATTTGTCACTCATCTGTATTATTCAGGTATAAATATGATCTTCATGGTCAAGAAAACAGCTTCTTTAAAAATGATTCATCTTGAATCTGTTGAAGTTTTAAACTTTTTTTTTTTGTAATCCAAACACACTATTACTTCCATTTCACTGATGCGTCATCGGAAATGTGTTGCTATGGAAACAGCTTTTTTTCACACAGTGAGAAGGAGCTTTGAGAGCTCAGACGGGTGGATTGACAAGGACAGCATGTAGATCAGATGGTATTCTTTAGTGCTGAAACAAGGACTTGATTGTCACCTATTCAATCAGAATCACCAACGATTTTGATAATCGCTTAAACGGCATGATTAATTGCAATTCATGATATGCTTTATTGGCAAGAATATTCAATATTGCCAAAGCTTCAAAAGCAAACAACAACAGCAAACCTGTTGTAAAGGGGAATAAAGAAAATCAATAAGATGACAAAAATGACAGTTTCTATTATCTGAAAAAGACATCTGAGGATACCATCATGGGAGCTGAAAAACACCGACTGACACATCTTCACTATTTGCTGAAATTTTATAGGCCAAACAACTAATCGATCAATCCAGTAATTAATCAGCATTGAGAGAAGTCATTGGTTGCAGCCCGAGTACTTGATAAAAAAAATGCTTTGTGGGTTTTTGATGAACGCTTTCCACTAAATTTTCTCACACATCCCCCTTCATGCTTCCAAAAACTAAAGAAATAAAAAAAGTTAAGAGTTTTTATTCCATGGGCCCATGACCTTTCCTCTAGTGCCACCCTCAGGGCAAACATTACACGTTTTACACAACCATTAGCTAATACTTATCAAATACAGTCTGATACTCCATGTTCTTTGATAAATAAAATAAAAGGAATAAAACAGAATATTGCTGAAAATATGTGTCACAAGCATCTCCCTCTGAGAAGAGCGGCCACTTGTCCCTCGCTGTGACTGAACACCGGCAGTCTGAGAGCATGCACTTCTCTAATGCAGCGATAGGGGGAGCCCCTGTGTTGTAGATTCAAACTTCCTTTGCAGCGTTGTTTACAAACTGTAGTGCACCTGGTGAGCTACTGTACGTGATAGTGATACACTTAACGACACTTTCGGATTCCTTGAAACCTAATAATGGGGATAAATAATAGTGTTGAATTTTTACATACTACCCTTTTATTCATTTACAGTAGCTGGCAATAGCATGAATGAAGAATTTAAAATATGTCAATTAATAAGACTTAAAGCCTTGTCGATGCACACGCAAAACGCATACTAGATTAACTTTTAAAAAAGTTACCTGTGTCTCACCTGGTTCAACTTTTTAGTTTTTAGTCATTCACCATTCACTACCATTCCCTTTAAACGGCGGGCGCATTATCAAGTCGGAGGGGTACTATTGGCTTTAGGTTCTTACTACTATCATAAACTGAAAGGTAAAATTGTAAAGCTGTTTAACAAGTACAAATTTTAGCGCAATAAGTCAGCACAAATGGCATAATATTCCATACTTATGCTAACATATAAGGGAATGTATAGAATTAAGTAACCGCCCCCCCTATGCGCGCTGCAGTGGTATCGCCCTTCCCATCTGTTCAGCTCCGGTGCGGCTCTGATTGAAACAGATTGTAGCGCTCCCCGGGTCGCGATGGCAAGTGTCCCGACAGGACGGCCGCAGCAACTTTTTTCTTGTTTGTAATGTTACGGAGGCACTATAAGTCGCTGAAGAAACTACTTTCTAATGTGAGACATAAACGCTACACAATTTCTCCAGCCCGAAAATGTCCCAGGGATGTACGGTTTCTGTGGAAGAGATCCAGTCTTGGTGGGAAGTCCCCGCCATAGCCCACTTCTGCTCGCTGTTCAGGACGGCGTTCAACCTTCCAGACTTTGAAATAGAGGTAAACTCATATTAAGCTCACTTTCAGTACCACGGGTGTGTTTCCCTACGGAAATGAAAAGTTGTTTGTGTCAGCTTTTTGGTGTGCGCGGTCCGTCGAGCGCGTTTGGTGGAAGTAGCCGTTTGGTAAACCAGCTTAGCCGTGTTCTCTGAACTTCTCGTACGTGAACGTTACTAAGGCGATCCTGTTAGGTAACGACCTAGCGAGCTCGTTAGCTAGGCTACTAGCTAGCTCTAACTGCTAGTTGCTGTTCCTCAAAGTTGTGAAATATCCCACGAGACGTGAGCGGACTGTGCTTGATGTAGTTTTACCCACGGTGACTGTAACGTGTTGCTGTATATCCATGATGCTCGTGTTCCTGAGTAACTTTAGATTGAGCTCCTCCTGAACCATGTGCCCCTCGTTTGTTTTCATTTGGCCAGAGGCTCATGTTTATGTCGAAGACCTGCCTTATTTCAGACGATTTAAACAAGCAATACATAAGATAAAATGCTTGGAAAACCGTCCCAATGCTACGAAACGTGAATATTTAAGTCGTAACTTTTTTTTTATTGATTATATTAATGTGACTAGAAATTAATTTTATGAACGAAAAGTCGAGCACTAACTTCTAATTGTTGTCCTGTTTACTGAATGGACTGAGCCACAGTGTTTTTTGTGTCTTTATTCTGTCAGATAAAGTTAAGTTCATGGCGTGAGGTTTGAGTTTATTGTCTTGCAAGCCATCTGGCTGGGGTAGCCATAGGGACGCAGATGCTGTTCAGGCATTGTTTGCTCGCCCAAGTCCCGTTTTGTTGCGAGAAGCGAGCGTTTAAGCGTTTGTTTACGATATTAATCTGTCCACAGTCAACTACCGAGGTACAACCGGCCACCCATCCTCTGCTCTGTCACTGAATAAGCGAAATTTATTACACTACGATTACATAATTCAACTTTATCACTCGATCCAACCCCCCCCCTCGGTCGGTGAAATGTATTCAGAGTTCACAGCTAAGTCCAACATGCGCCCCTGCAAGGTTCACATCAGAATTAATGGGGACCGGTTCTGATCTGTCGAGGAATGATTGCACTTTTAGAGAAACTGGTAAGGTCAACAGCACGCATCAACAGACTCCATCCCTCAGCCATCCCCACCCCCTTCGGCAGAGAAACACGTAGGCATCGGCTTTGTTGTTAAACGAAGTGCGAGCCAGATGGGGGATCGCATTGCGCCTAGTTTACATGAAAGTTGAGGGTGTTGTGCTGCTGCTGCGTTTCTTCTCAGGACGGGGTTGGATTTGCATGAAATTCGCGTCACGTTGGAGCTATTGGTGACTTACGTAGTTGCAGTTGTCGATTTTCACTTTCAGAACCGCTCCTGCAGACTGAACCCGGTTCAGCTGAACAGTGCGGGTCGAGCTGCTGTAAGCCGGAGTGAATGATGTATTCCTGTTTAGCCGCATCACTGAGCAGGTCACACTCCTCAGCTAGATTTAGAGGAAATATTAAGATTGATGTAGTCGTCTTATTCCTTGACATCTTAATCAGACACAGGAGTGTTCAAGGTCACAGCTCCTCTGGTTTCTCTCTGTAATTAGCTGCATTTATTACCACACCATATACTTTGCAACCTTTCACATTGTCGGGTGACAATTTTGCACAATCCTCCTGTGGATGTTTATTAGCTTTTATTACTTTTACAGTCCCACGGACACTTGCTGTTGATTTGACTTGACATGAAAATAGAAAATGTCATGTTTTGCACCAAAGCACCACATCAGAAACCTCCTTTGTGCGAACATACTTGGCGGTAGAGCTGATTCTGATTAGTAGCCCACTGTTTTCATTGAAAGCCAGTGGAAAGCGCAGGTGTTTGACGGGGGAAAAATGTGCAACTTTAGCAGCTTGGTGTGTGCTGAAACCTCCATTTTACACAATACTGATATTAGTGGAAGTAAAGCATGTGATAGTGAGTTCCTCTCTTCTTGCTGCATATTTGTGGTATCAGAATCCATCTCAAATTCATTTGGTCTATTCTCTCTTTGGTCTCCTGGATGTGCTCTGAATGTTGACAAAATGGTTACCTGGGTCCTTCATTTCTAACTCCTGATAGGCTTGAAAGGTGGGAATATTTGGGTGACCATGCAGTGTACTGAATATTTGTTGAAATGCATATTTTGTTTAGCAGTGGAATCATTTGAATGAACCGCAGCCACAATCCTGAGTGAAAACAACCAACTATCTTTGAAGCATGTGGAGGGAGTGATCCTCAAAAAGGGGCTCTAAGCAAAGTTTTGGACATTAAGTATGGAAAGAATTGGTTAAATCAGTGTTGGGGGTAATAAATTAAAATGGTCGCAAGCTAAAGTTTTCAGATTTTAAGTCTCCTCAGTGTGTAGAAGAAGGGATCATATTTTTCTTGCTCTCTTTCATCTGGTTAATATTTCTGTCTTGGAGAAAGTAGGTAGCCTCTGCCCGGTGTTCTGGCTACTAAAGTACCTGTGTTTTATTTAAATAGGAGTAGCAGTGCTGATATTGTCGTTTGGATTCTTCTTCTGGATTGAAAAAAATACATGCTGCTTGAATAGAGGGACGTTTAGTAGATTCAGGTCTTGCTTAAATTGTGCAGTCTGTTGTGTTGTACTGCCACGGGGCTGTTGTGTGACTGTATTTGATCTTTCCGACTGTATATTTTACAATATTGCTGATTTTGGACACTCGGCTTTTTATGAAATGTGCACCGCCTCTCATCTCCGCAACAGGTGTGCAGCGTGCACAGAGCGCTGCTTGTCTACACTTTACTATTTGATATGTAAAGCAGGCGTCGAGTCAGGTGCCGGGGTGAGGAAGTCAAAAATAAAATGAGGCAATCCAGACTCCTTTAATCAAATAGTCTGCCTTCACACTGCAGATACTGACACTGAAACTCTCCCTGCATTCAGGACATATTAGAAATGCTGTCCTGCCTCCTTAATGGGTTTCATGATGACTTCAGTTTTGTAAACTAAAATGTACACACTGACTTCTGAAGTCAGGTTATTTGGATCCAGCCTGTTTACTTTCTGAGGACTTTGTGTTTTAGGAATAAGAGGAAAGTGTCAGGCGGCGTGTTTGTTTTGCTTAATGCCACATAGCAGCAACAAGCCGAGCTGGCCTGGGCACTCTTTCCAATGAGGCGTTTTGTCATTTACTCCTGCCTTTGTCTTGGCTTGCATTGTTAAAGTTGGTAAAATTTAAAGAGCCTCTTGTGGCTGCGTTAGTGTAATAAAAAATATAGATTTGACCTTTGACAAATTCTTTCAACTTGGATTTATTATTTTTTTTGTCTTATTCTAAGACAAGCTTTTGGCTGCGCTTGTGAAGGATTGGTCGGGTAATGGTAGTCAGTTCCAGTTGCAATTCTATCTCTGGATGTATAGGTTGAATTACCTCAGAATCAGGGGGTGAAAGAGGGGGCAGGAAGTGGCTGTCATTGGTCATGACAGAGTGGGAGGGTGTAGAGTGATTGCACTCTATTCTGTCCTTTACTTTTTTAACGCTGACATTCCATCTGTCTTTATTTGTGGAAATAGCGTTTTGGATTGGCTGCTGCCGTCCTCCGTCCATCCTTGCCATCCCGTGCCCACAGAGAGCAGGGGTCAGTGTCGTGGCGGCCGAGGGCCTCGCATACCTCTGCATGTTACAGTTTCTATGGATTTCCTTGTTAAACGTCTATTCTGGTTTTGCCCCCATGGGGTCAGCTCTGGGAGATGAGTGAGAAGGGTGTGTGGACGCATGCTTCCACAGGATTAGTCGCAAAGTTCAAGAGTGAGCAGTCTGAGGTCTTGTTGGCTGCTCAATTACATAAAAAAATAATTAAATAGAGTGTGCTTTTAAGCTTTTGGGTTTTACCCCACGTGTAGGTTGTTAGATGACAAGCCTATGATGCGGGTCTTCTCCAGTCTGCAGTGTAGCTACATACATGTCAGTGATAAACCCGAGAGTAAGAATTACTTGAAATTAAAGCAGATGGCAGATTGGAAGTTTCAGTTCCACCTCTCTGGCTGTCTGTACTTGTTGTTTCTTGATCTATCTGTGGAGCCACCTGTGTTTTGCTGTATCTACAGGAAGACCCTGACAGCATTGTGTTGGATTGCACACATGAAAATAGTTGAGAAATGAGAGGTAGAAGGGTTGAGCCTCACTCCTCACCGCCTGACCTGTTATGGCACCAAGTGTGTGTGATTCTGACGTCAGAAAGATGCGGGTTTCCAACACTGTTTGTCCATCTGACAGATATTTTGGACAGACCGTTAATCCGGCTTAATGGTGTTCTTGAAACACCTGTTTCTTTTTCCCATAATGGACGCTTCAGTAATGAATGCCACATTTACGACCACGGTGTTCAGAGGCGTGTGAAACTGCTACCAGAGATATTGACAAACCCGGTGATCCAGTCCGACGGTGCTGCTGCGGTACCGTTGTGGCAGCTCTTTTATTTCTACGGTGCTGGTCAGTGATAATGGAGTCTACCCCCAGTCTCCTTGGCCGGCCTTACAAAACAGTCCCTTGCACATTGTTCCTGGGCCGATACACTTCACTGTTGCTGGTTTCCACTTTCCTCAGGGTGCAGGCAGCAAGCTGGGAAAGCAGCATGGATATATGTGTGTGTGGATGAGAGAGTTGAGTGGGAGAGATGGAGAGCAGAGAAAGAATGAGTGGGAGGGAAGGGGAAAGAGGGGAAGAAAAGTGTCCCAGAGATGGAGAGCAAGTGAGTGTGGAAGCGAAAGCACATTAGTATGAGAGAGTGATCTGCAGGAAGGCGGCCCAGGGTCAACATGGCTGTCCCCTCCGCCTGGCTTTTTGTCTCCGTGGCTTATGCTTGGTTTCTTGGCTATGTATCTGTGAAATGATGCCTGAAATCCCACAGCCAACAGACACTGCAGGCTTCTGTTGCTCGATCCTCATTGACGTGCCCCTTATTGCCAGACATGGCTCTTCATGCCAAGGACCTCTGTTCCTGTCTTGGTCTTGGTGGTTTG